CTTAATACCTAACAAAGCACTAAGGATTATTTTTTTTACCCTCAGATACGGAAGCCTAAGAAATAAAGGGCAGGTTTTAAAATTCTGTGCACCATAGAAGTCTCCATCTGTGCAGGCACATATGGTGGAAAAAGCCATTCTAGCCCCTGCCTCCTTTCCACACCAGAAAGTAAGGGATGTGCTTATCCTTGAGAAGCTTTCTGTGCTGCTGCAGCACACTGTTCACTCATGTTGAGCCTATTACCCACCAAGACCCCCAGGTTCCTTTCCATAGGGCTGCTCTCCAGCCAGATGGATCCCAGTCTGAACTGCACTTGTGGGTTTTGTATTCCCAGGTGCAAGACTCTACACTTATCCCCATTGAACCTTGTAAGATTCCTGCTAGCCCACTCCTCCAGTCTCTCTAGGTCATCCTGGAGGGTGGCTCTCCCTTCTGGAGTGTCAACCTCTCTACTCATCTTGATGTGATCAGCAAATTTCATCAGGGTTCTCTTGATCCCAACATCCAGGTCACTCATGAAGATGTTAAACAGCATCGGACCTGATATAGATCCCTGGGGGACCCCACTTGTGACAAGTTGCCAGTTGGAGGAGGAACTATTTACTGTCACCCTCTGGGTACAGCCTGTCAGCCAATTCCCTACCCACTGCACAGAACACTTTTCAAGGCTGTAACAAGTACGTTTCTCCAGGAAGAGGCTGTGAGGGACCATATCAAAGGCCTTGGAGAAGTTGAGGTAGATGACATCCATCGCTCACTCTGCATCAAGCAAGCAGGTTACTTTGTCATAGAATTGTCAAGCCCAATTTGTCCCTGGTAAATCCATGTTGGCTTTTCCCAATCATGTGCTTCAATTGACTTGTGATAGTCCCCAGGAGAATTTGCTACATGACTTCCTAGGGACTGAAGTGAGACTAATGGGTCTGTAATTACCTGGGTCCTCCTTGGAACCCTTCTTATATACAAGAGTGACATTAGCCTTCCCTCAGTCTTCAGGAATGTCTCCTCATCTCCAAAACTTCCCAAAGATTATGCAGAGCAGCTTTGCCACAACATCAGCCAGCTCTCTCAACACCTTAGTGTGGATGGCATCTGGACACATTGATCTGTACAGGTCAAGCTCCTGTAATAGTTGACACACCAACTCTCCCTTCACTGACAGTAGGTCGGTGTCTGCATCAACCTGGATTTTTGTTCCGATGGCTTGGGACCCAACAGCACTGGTAAAGACAGAGGTGAAGAAGCTGTTGAGGACCTCTGCTTTTTCAGCATTGTTGGTGACTAGTTCACCTCTCCTGTTTAATAGTGGGCCAATATTATCCCTCTGGTTCTGCTTGTCCTTAACATATCTGAAGAAGACTTTCACTGCTGTTTAACATTAACATGTGAACTGTTATACATAACACTCACAGGGAGTGAGTGTTGCAAGGCAAGGTCCAAGATATCATTAAAAGCTTCAAAACATTTGGAACACCAGTGATCTGTGAGTACCTTTTACAAGACAGCCTGAGACTCATTGCTTGAATTTGAACCTCTGACCTGTTTCTGATGGAACTTCAGAGGTATCTGTTACTTCCTGTACTAAATCAAAATGTGATTTTGCAGCCCAATGTCAGGTACAAAATGGGGCTCAACATAAATATGGGAACAAATCCAAAGCACACTCACATTTCCTTATTCTTTTTTCTCAGCTAGGCTGAGATAACTGTGGAACATGCAGCTGACAAGAGTTAAAGATTTACAGCTGTGAGAGACCAAGAAAACATACAAGCTTCTCTGAAACAGCATCTGCAGTAAAACACCAAGTGGTTGTGCATATCTATGTGCACAAGATATTTTTACATGGATGTATGACTGAAACAGTCATTTCCAAGAAAGCAGATAGTTAAGCAGTTAGAACAATAGCCTATTCAAGTTTAATATGACCCTCTGGGTACAGCCTGTCAGCCAATTCCCTACCCACTGCACAGAACACTTTTCAAGGCTGTAACAAGTACGTTTCTCCAGGAAGAGGCTGTGAGGGACCATATCAAAGGCCTTGGAGAAGTTGAGGTAGATGACATCCATCGCTCACTCTGCATCAAGCAAGCAGGTTACTTTGTCATAGAATTGTCAAGCCCAATTTGTCCCTGGTAAATCCATGTTGGCTTTTCCCAATCATGTGCTTCAATTGACTTGTGATAGTCCCCAGGAGAATTTGCTACATGACTTCCTAGGGACTGAAGTGAGACTAATGGGTCTGTAATTACCTGGGTCCTCCTTGGAACCCTTCTTATATACAAGAGTGACATTAGCCTTCCCTCAGTCTTCAGGAATGTCTCCTCATCTCCAAAACTTCCCAAAGATTATGCAGAGCAGCTTTGCCACAACATCAGCCAGCTCTCTCAACACCTTAGTGTGGATGGCATCTGGACACATTGATCTGTACAGGTCAAGCTCCTGTAATAGTTGACACACCAACTCTCCCTTCACTGACAGTAGGTCGGTGTCTGCATCAACCTGGATTTTTGTTCCGATGGCTTGGGACCCAACAGCACTGGTAAAGACAGAGGTGAAGAAGCTGTTGAGGACCTCTGCTTTTTCAGCATTGTTGGTGACTAGTTCACCTCTCCTGTTTAATAGTGGGCCAATATTATCCCTCTGGTTCTGCTTGTCCTTAACATATCTGAAGAAGACTTTCACTGCTGTTTAACATTAACATGTGAACTGTTATACATAACACTCACAGGGAGTGAGTGTTGCAAGGCAAGGTCCAAGATATCATTAAAAGCTTCAAAACATTTGGAACACCAGTGATCTGTGAGTACCTTTTACAAGACAGCCTGAGACTCATTGCTTGAATTTGAACCTCTGACCTGTTTCTGATGGAACTTCAGAGGTATCTGTTACTTCCTGTACTAAATCAAAATGTGATTTTGCAGCCCAATGTCAGGTACAAAATGGGGCTCAACATAAATATGGGAACAAATCCAAAGCACACTCACATTTCCTTATTCTTTTTTCTCAGCTAGGCTGAGATAACTGTGGAACATGCAGCTGACAAGAGTTAAAGATTTACAGCTGTGAGAGACCAAGAAAACATACAAGCTTCTCTGAAACAGCATCTGCAGTAAAACACCAAGTGGTTGTGCATATCTATGTGCACAAGATATTTTTACATGGATGTATGACTGAAACAGTCATTTCCAAGAAAGCAGATAGTTAAGCAGTTAGAACAATAGCCTATTCAAGTTTAATATGTTTAAACAGATTAGGAAACAATACAAAGGGATAATTTCATTATCACTGAAATGCAGTGGCCATCCCTTGAGAGTGAGATACAGCAGGAACAGATACCAGGGGGCATTTCATTTTAGGATTAAACACTGAAACTTTGGGGAAGAATTTACAGAGAGATAATTGAAATAGATTGGCATTCAATACCCCCCTGTATTAAGGGCACTAGCTTTAGCTGTCTCTTGCAGATACCTCAGTTCCAGTCCTGCATCAGCCCAGCCCTGCCTTATCTATCTCAGGAATTGCAGCCCTAAGTGCTGCAATGACACAAAAACAAGGGAAGGGAACAGTCTTTTCATTGAACAGATATGGCTGGGGGAGGGGATAGTGTTCTGCAAACAGATATCCCCAATGTCACAGTACAGGTTTGACAGTTCCCCATAGTGTCACACATGGGCAATCCAGGAGAGGCTGCCTATTAGTTAGATAAAATCTCAATAATTAATTAGCCTCCAACCATTGGCAGAGCACTGATGATGCTGGTTGCTCTTTAGCTAGTATTATCTATCACTGGCTTACCTATAGCACCTTTCCCAACTGGGGCTGCTTAGTCACAAGTCATAAACACAGACTATGCCCATATGGGTAGCTATCACTAAGTCCAGCTTCTTCCCTCCTCTCCTTTCCTCCACCCAGCATCCCAAAACAGGCTGCAGAAGGGGTTCCACAGTCTGAGGAATTGTGAACCCACTCTTTTATATCAGCTGGTGCAAAGTCACCTTCTGCTGCACTTCCTCTGTCCTTGCTTCTCTCTGAGACACGTATTACAGAGGGTCAAGTTGGCCTCTGCTGACATTAGCCAAAAGGACACTCTGAACTTCGTTCCATTCATGAAAGCTCAGAGTGTTTTTCTTTCACGAAGACTTACCGTATTCTTTCTATCCCTATAATAACCCAGCATTGGGAGCAGAAGCATCTAACTTCTCCTTCTCAGACACAGTTGGCAGAGTGAGGACAGCAAGCACTTCCTTTTTTTCCTTTTGTTTAATCTACTCTAGGACAAATAGCTAATCACATGGCCTTTCTTCCTTGAGTTAATTAATTTTCTATTTAGATAGTTGATAATTGTGCTCTGAAAATTCTCACTTTAAGAGCCTTATGAGAGGTTCATACACCTGGATTGATTTGAAACATTTTTGTGATTGCATTTCATATTTTATTGGAATAATTTTCTCCTACCCCCAAGGTGGTTTTGCTGAAAGATTTTGATTCTTAAACCTTTTCAACTTCAACCTTAAACAAAGCAAATGTAACCAAGCCTAGAGAAAATATGGTGCAGGATTAACAGCACTGCATCTGTTTAAAATTTCTTGCATTGAGTTGTACAACCCTCAAAGGCTGGCTGTTACCTGGGATCTGTTGGTTTGGTTGATCCTGCTAAAATTTGACAGTGATATTCCATGCCAACTTGGATTAAACTTGCCAGGCAATTGAGTCATTACAAAACTTTGCTGACAGCTCCATTTAACATTCTGGAAATGTTCCAATGCATTTTGTCTAAACTTGAGTTAATCTGGAGCATATGGCTCTTCTGGAAAAACAAATTATCTTTGAAATGAATTCTGCATTGTGATATTTAGTTTCCTCATGAGTAAAACTTTTAGCTTTATTTACATGTCTTTAAAGAATGTTAAAGGAATTGAGGAACTTTGTACCCAGGAAGCTAAGCACAGAAAACTAAGAATTTATGTACTGCAAAAGCACAAAGGCAAGACAAAGCGTGGCCCTGATATGCCATGATAACTGCAGTTACCTGCTTGCGTTGGAGGAATCCATTGGTGCATGATACACACTCTCAGTGATTCTTTGGTGCAGTTGACTTGCTTCTGTTAAAGAAAAAAAGAAATTGCTCCAAATTATGTAAGTTGCTCCCTTACTTGGGAAAGAGAGAGAGACAAAGAAGAGAGGAGAGATTTTAACTGCTGCTGCAACCAAAATGAAGTGCTCAAACTTGAAGAGAAAGTGGTGATCTCAAAGCCTGAAAACGTTGCTCAAACATCTCTTCTGCCCCTATTTTTAAAGTTATTTCTTCCCTTACCACCCTCTCTTCCCTTTGTACCACCTCCTAGCTCACTGCTCAACTTGAATCTAGAGAACGGACATAGTGGCGCTTTTCCCAGAACACAATACCACTTCTGTGGCTCACAGCTTTTCCTGGGTTTAGCAGCACATGCACACACAGCCATCTGGCAGCCTACATCCCCATTCCTCTGAAAGATGCTTTTTGCTCAGCATCCTGGACAAACAGCAACAGTAAAATGTTACTTAGGTGGCATTTATTCACTCTTCTTGCATAGCTGTCGGGTAGCAACAGACTCATTTGTCCAGTAACTGCTGAGTGGAGAAACAATTAAAAAGATGCCGACAACCCAATTTTTAGGGCCAGGGAAGTCTGACATTAAGAAGTGAGGAGGCAACAGAAGCAGCTCCTTTCTCAGATTGCTGAGATCCTTGGGCTATTGCACTCCAGAAGAAGAGGAAGATCATGTCAATGAAAGGAGAACAAAGAGGCAGGGGCAGCACTGAAAGATTAAAGTCTTTTGTGGGTGGGAATGCAGGGAGAAAGGAGCACTCTGGGTGGGGAGTTGGAAGTAACTCTATTCCTAATTTTGGCAACTGATTCAGAGCCTTGCACAAATCACTTAAACTGCATCCATCATTCCTTTGCCTGCAAGAGACAATTATGTCCTTTAGGATCGACTCAAGGTGTTACCCAAAGCCTTCCTAGTATTCCATGCTCATCATAGTATTCCATAGGGGTTGCATATACACTGTTTGTACTCTGATGACCCATATGTTAAACTAATTATCACATGCCTTTATCCACCTTCTTTGTCCTTTACTCATTCATTCATCTCAGCTGGTTCCTTACAACATTCCAAGACCCTGTGCAACTCCTAATGACAGCCATTAAAAACAGCCCAGAAAAACATCTCTCTATTCCTTCTCTCATTACAATGCACAGTTGGAGAAATATCCAGTTTTGAAGTAAGCACGAATTAAGGCCTCTTCTTTCATGAGTCATTTGGAATAGAAACAACTGTTTAAAATCACAAGACAAAGCATTTGCTTCCTGCCATCACTGTCGTAATAAAGGCTTTTATTCATGTGATCATTTGGGAACAGGCAAAGGGAAGAGTTGCAATAGCATGTAAGATACAATTTCTGCCCTCTGGCTGTTCTGCTGGATTCACAATGAAGGGAAGCTCGAGTTTGCTCATAGAGTAGGATGAAAGCAATTCTTGGGTGTTCTCTAGACCAGATAAAATCTTGAGTAACTGGCTTAGACCAACAACTGACCCTGCTCTGGGCAGGACATTGGACTACAATGTCCAGAGATCCTCTGAGACCTGAAATACTCTAGAGTCTTATGATCTTAAGAAAAAATGAGGACTATAAAAGAATAAATGTTTTTTAAACTTTGTCTTGGCTCCTGCATAGTTTTCTCTGGAAAATGCATAGTAACTCTAGCATAGAGATCTTGTATGCTACAAAGATTTCACCAATGCTCATCGTGGGTGACATACAAGTTTCGTTTTCTTTGCCTAGAAACGCACATTGAGGGTTAAGCACTCTAGCCTGTTAAACACATTTTCTCCATAAAATACTCTTCTCTTGTGTGGTAGCCTAAGTAAAGCCAGCTTTTGTATTTCAGAAGTAAATATTGCAAACCATATCAGAGAGTCCCTAGATGAGGTCCTGAAACTGCACTGCTAAGAATCTTGAGTTCTTTCCTCTT